GTCGCATTGAGACCCCCTAAAGGAGAGGGGTCGCGAAATTTCTGGAAAAGTGCGAACGTCACGGTTAACCCTGCCTGTAACTACGCCAACTGAGTGTGGTCTCGTTCCAGTGGAACTCCTCAGAACATACCGCAACATAGGAACACTGATAAAACAACAACCCGCGATAGCATTGTGGATAGCAGCAACGGAAGGACGATCTTATGGAAGATGTTGTAGGACATGAACAGAGCAGCATCTGATGGTTGCCCTCACAAGGGTAGTGTGGATTTGCAAGAAAATCGATCCATCTACCGCCGACATAAATGTTCGAAGCTCAACGAGAATAGCAAAACTTCGTGTTGTTGGCATTGCTGAGAACCTTTCGAACATCTGGCGTCGCGGGTTAATATCGGCTAGTTGGCCCATTACGTTGGACGTAGTGCTGATAAGCTACGATAAATGTACCATTGATCAGAGTTTGGCTTTGCAATACCCTTGTAGGGCAACCGGTAGCACAACCTCCAGGCATGCAAGGGATGCTGGTTCAACTGCACCCTTGGGCCAAGTGTTTTGCGCATAACTCTTCATTCTTATGATAACATCCGTATGGTGAACTGCGGTCATAGCAGTTAACAAATTAAAGAAGAATTCCGAAATAAGGCCGGAGGTCTAAGCAGACACCAATTGCCTAGTGGAAAGAAATGATGATCCTCAAGGGTGCGGACTGGCATGCAGTTCGCAGCGAAGGATATGCCCTGGGAATCTAGCATGGCCCTCTTCGCGGCGCTATCGGTACGTACGCCTACCGACTGGCTACCTACTCGCCGCAGGTCTCTAGCCGTTTAGCAGAGAGAGCGTTAGCGTTGAAGAGGGCAGCACCGATGAGAGTCGCATCAATGCGGAAACAACGGGCAAGGAAGGGTCCCATTTCTCGGGTTCTGGGCCGTTTCTCATGTTTTTTTTCATCCCGGCACTTTGACCATCTCTGCGCTGGTTCTGATAAGCTGCCTTCCAATCCTAAACTCCGTTTTGGAAAAAAAATCTCAGAAGCATTCAAAATATACTAGCATAGGCTGAACCTTCTGAACAAGCAGTTTCCAAGTTGAGTGGTACAAGTTCACGCAGCACTGCTTTTCATCAATTCTGCCCTTATATGAGAGGTTACCATCGGGAATGTGTACTTTCTGGAAAAAATACAAAACACGGAAGATTGGTTTGTAATTATTATAAATGTTATCAAAAATTGAGCCAGGTGGTTAAGGACTCTCCACGTAATCCAGTTGAGACCACACCGCGCCTTTGGTCTCCTGGTCGTCCATTCAGAATCAGAAAACCTGTCTCACCATCAGAGAGCGGAGATTACTTGTGCACAAGCGTGGCACAGGGGCAGTAAGGACAGACACACGTTCAAATGTTACCACGGTAAGATTATGAATGAAGTAGTAGAGTAAAGTATCTGGCTTATATGCGAGCAAGATTGGCCATTGCTGCCTTCTTGATCTTTGACTTTTCGCTTTTCATTATTTTTTCTCGGACGATGTGATTTTTGCAGACTGAAGATGCGTTTCAATAGACTCCAGCTTCTGGAAAAGGATATAACCGCCGTGAAACTTTAAAAAAGGATGCGGCGACTGGAGCGGGGCCAGTGTGTGTCCAATTGCGAGAAGGTTGAGTTGGTAGCAGTTTTGATTCTGGTGTATTAACGATCAATCATGCAACACATATAGATAAAGCCTTTGTTTAGCCTTACGATTGCCTAAATCCTGAAGAAGAGCAGGCAGTTGAGCAGAAGATCTCCTGATCCTATCACCGCTATAGAATAGCTGGCTGTAAATCATATATCGGCTGTCGAGGTGAAGCCGTCCCATCTGCCATGCGATGCCAATCTGTGATCAGTACGAAAGGAATGGAAGAATGGACGGTGGCCCCAACATGCGTACGGAGGGACATCCGAAATGGAAGATGGAAAAGTAACCAAGATTGCAACTCATACCAAAAAATCATGGAAAAATTGCGAAATCAGTAGTGTTGCATACAACCGAGCACTTCATTCAATCTTCAGCTTTTTTTCGAACTCATGACATTATTTGAAGATTGTTCAATGTCCATTATCTGGACGTTTCTACCATCTTAGTTTCTTAAGCGACCGAAGGTGTACCGCTCAAAAGAAATTCTATGAGATGCCCTGAATGAGACTTCCTCTCCAAAATTGATTTGTATTACTTATTGGACGGTGTGTGGCACAATGTGTGCGCTTGCTGCAGATTGTCGACGAATGGATGCGAAAGTATGGAGACCACTGAGACGCAATTACTAGCGTGGAGTCAACTTCAAGGCGTGTTCTGATTAAAGCAACAGTCCCAGCTCGAACATAATGGTGTGGTATGATACCCTGCTGGGATTGTTGCTTTAATCAGAACGCGCCTTGAAGTTGACTCCATGCGTCTCAGTGATCTCCATACTTTCTCATGAGCATGATATGGAGCGGCTAGAAATCGTACACAATGTTTTATTCACGAAAAAAGAGACTTCAGAAAGATACAAACCTTTAAAAACCACCCTCTGCAGAACCGCTGTGCGTCGCAATGGAACGATGTACGTGGTGGAGCGGCCACGTATAAGGCGACGCATAGGAATTCGATTTGAACATTCGACTTACTTCCGCTGAACCTTTCTGAGCATTCGAATTCACATGGATGATCTGCTTGTTGTTGCTTTATACACCTACTTTGGTTTATCCATGGCGCTCTACTGTCTTTCTAATTCCGCGTGGGATGTAGCTATTCTCGTTTTCGAAGTCTCGATAAGCCCCTATGACCCCAAACGTGGCGAGCTGGCACCATTCCCGTCTGGTGCCGGTTTGCACCACGGACCACGTTTTCTTCTCACTTTTAAAGTTCTCTGTAGCTTTAAGAAAGAAAACTGGATAATCTTAGAAATTAATTTGAGTCTTTTTGTTGTGAATAATGTGTTATAAGTAGGTTTTTTGGTGGAACTTGCGGCTCTACCATTGCGTTGCAATGCGCGTTTCCAGCACATTTAACAAATAAGTAATGAGTAAATAAATAAATAAATAAATAAATAATCAAACTTTGGAGAGTGGAGAAGGTCAATTATTAGTCTGCAACGCTATTGCCGCACTATGACGGTTAAAATTAACCCAATACGAGTTCTGGGGTCCAAGTGAAGCGTTCCCGCAGCCAGCAGTTGTGGCATCTGTAAGGCGGGTGCTTACGAGTAGTGATCATCCTAGTTTTTCGAATAGTAACAAAGCAACCGCAGATTTTTCGTTCTTCTTGTTCTTCCCCTTCAAGATGGGCCTTCAAAGTACCTGATTTTAGTTGAAAAATGTGGAATAGTGTTTCCATAACGATTCCTTCAAGCACGTTGTAAATGTTGTAAATTTAAAGGCACAACTCAGGCACGGATTTGCGGGGTAAGAGCAATCGATAACGGATGTGAGAGTGTATTTTGTTGAATGGAAATGGAAGAAACAGCGAAAAAAAAACCCGCGATGAAGCCTAAACAGGAACCTCCACTCTTCCAGTAACATCTCGCCTAGCCGTCAAGGGGAGGTGCAACCGGACGAGTTTTCCGAACTTGATATACATGCGCAACTGTGGCATTTTGCCAGCAATCACTGCGGCAGGGTTCTCACGTTCGTCAGCTGATATTACAATCAATTCTTTCATTTATTGTCCAGTAGTTCCCTCTTCTCTCTGTTTTTTTGGCGTAATGCACTATAAAAGTGGAAAATGAAACAATTTTGTTTTATAGTGTGTAACTGTGTGTTTACAGTGTTTAACTTTGTCTAATCCGTCGCGGTTGTTATTCCTTTTTTACCTTGTGAAGCAAGTTGTCGATAGCATATTGCTGTTTCTATGCGTTATAGTTGGTTTTATTCCTTTTTTTTGGTCGTCAACGCGTTTTACTTCCAGAGTGACGATCATGTCTGAGCCGTTACTGTGACGACGCGAGATCTTGCGATGTTTCAACTTTTCCCATGTGAGTCAACATTAATGCTATTCCATGTGTACGGTCAGCTGTTGAATATGAAAATCGTTTTTAGGCCAGATGGTGATGAGTATGCAGAATACCACTGTGTTGTGTTAGGCGCTACTTATTTATATCTTGTGGTTTATGGTTAGTATGTTAACTAGTGTCCGTAGGATATTCAGGGTTATCATTATCAGATTTTCGTGGTTAGGAAGTTTTTGTGGTGTTTCAGGCAGGTTAACACAGTGTCGAGTGCTCAAAGATTTACTCATTTCACCAATCGCGATCGTGAGCATGTGGAAACTGATGTGTACGGGTGATGGTGTAGAAGCGGCATTAGAAAAGATGGCTGACCGACATTTCCAATCACCCGCAGAGGTTGTGAATAACAGTTTTCGCGGTTCGTTTCTTTGATTATCCATATCCTTTCTCCAGGCTTTTAAATACTCTCACCTTGATTGTGCTTTTCTTCCAATTAAATATGTTATCTTTATTTCAGATACGAAATTTTGAAAATACTCCGGATGCAACTGCAAACAAGCTGTATGAGCTCACACCAACATGACACAGCTAAGGCAATGAAGAAATCGGTTAATATTAATGTTAGACAATGTGATATGTTAGACAATGTAATAAAATTGGATTACAAACGTGTCACAATGAACGATCAGTAAGAAAAAGGGCAGCAATACAAGCAAAATAGTATTCAGAACGGCTCATAACGCAGCAGTACAGTAGAAACAGCTCCAATCTTAACTTTTGCAATAGATAGTTTTCGGCAGTCTTCAAAAGCGGCTTCATCGATGAGGTTCAGCAGTTAACATGCGGATGTTACACATCTTTCAGCTGGATCAGCAGCTATCCCACGCGTTTCCTGAATCGTAAATTTATACTGTCTGCACATGAATTTGCACAAGTATCAGGCCTATGAACAACTGACTTCTCAATAGAAACCCCTCTTTCAAAAAAAAACTAGTATCGTCAATGATCTGTACCTTGTTGAATATTTTAGCTGGCGCGGTGACACCATTCTGACCAGCAAGAATATGGCAGCAGTGTGATGACCAATTCTTTATTTCTAGCATAGTACCCGCAATCTGTGACACTGCATAATCATTTCTCGAGGTTCCCCATTCTCATCCTCGAACACAGACGTAACCTAAATTTAGTGAATTTGAAGAGCTACCAAGCTGCTTGTAACATACGACCAAGCAATGAAATAAAATGAAAACAAGAAATGCTCGCAAAGAAAAAGTATGAAATACCTTCAATGATACTGACATGATACCATCAAATGAGTAAACAAACAAAACAGCACGTCTATTCTCAAGTAATGAAACACGTTACAGAAAACGACTCCTGGGGCCGTAAGGCATGCTTCCCCGAAGAAGTGGGGGACGAAAACCCCATTAAAATGTCGCTATCCCGACAGGGATGTCCTGATAAAGGACCAACATTCAATGTAAGGTTAAAGTAACCAAGCATTCAAAATGAAGAAGCAGTATCGTTCAAAATCAAAGGGATTTTCGTCCCCCAACCATTCGGAAGCATGCCTTAGGCCCCTGAAGAATAACTGTGAATCAAATTGACACATGTAGTATTTCGTTACTAAAACACACCTGGGTTTAATCACTTCGATTAGCCATATTGTGAATCTCGCACGAAGCATGCGAACTAAGTATGTAATCTAAAACAGTGAAGAACGGCTGAGTTCTGTAAAGGGTCGGGATCGCGAAGAATGAAACAGAACAAATTAAAACGAACCAAAAATGAAGACACTGAGTCTACTGTCGCGAAGGAGTGAAACTGAAGGCGTTGCAAAGGGCCCGGACTTCGAGGATGGGAGAAGAATGAGTAGACGAGTATGCAAACGTACGTAATGTAGTGAATGATTAGAATTCACGAGAGTCTGTAATGCAATACAAACAGAACAAAATAAG